CCAGATTCCCGGGGACAACGGGCGCGGGGAGGGGGGGGCGGGGGACTCGGGGCGCGCGGGTCCCCAGGGGCCACCCCCGGGCACGGGGCCGCGGCGGGCGGGCGGCCTTGGGCCCGCAGAACAAAGCCCACACGGCCATCTTGAGACGGTAAACAGACCCCCAGCGCAGGCCACCCCGCCTCCCGCCCACCGCGGCCACCAGCCAGGGGCGGGCGCTCACCGTCCTCGAAGTCCATGGCGGAGGCTCCGGGCCGAGCGGCTCGGCGGCGCGGGGCTGAGCTGGGGCCGGCAACGAGCGTCGGGGACCCGCGTTTCCACACGAGCCGTTCGCGCGACCGAGAGCGACGCTACCGGCCCGGGAGCCGCAGGCCACAGCGAGGTTGGGGGTGGGGCCAGCGGCGCTGCCAGTCGCCCTAGTGCGGCCTACGATTGGTTGGCGCGGACTAGTGGGCGGGGCCTCGAGTGGGGGCGGGAAGCAGGTCCGCTGTCAAGCTCCCAGGTGCTGACCCTCATGGAGCCGAGGGGGAGGGTAGGTTAAATTAAAAAAAAACAAAAAACGGGAGCGCTGAAGCCCGATGGGGGTAGCGAGAAAGCGGGCTAGGTGTTCTGGAAGGTAGGGCTGCGGACCGCCATGTTTGATCCTGGCAAGAAAGAAAGGATCTGCTTGGAATACCTTCCTCCTGCCCGAACTAATAAACCACGTGCCGACCTTTTGCTTTTTATTGGCTGATAGGAAATGTTGAAGTACTTAGAGTTTCTGCCCTGAAGACACGTAAGTCCGAGACTTTTTTTTTTAGAGAACTGTATGCAGAGAACAGGTTGCTAAATAGGGAACAATTATGGAAATGATTGAAGACGGGCTGTTATCAAGTTCTGAATTTTCAGGTGCAAAATAAAAGTGTACAAGTTCACAGACAGGGAAGATTTGTGGCGGTGGTGTCCAGAACTTAAAGGATAACCACGTGCAAACACACTCAAATATTGGCATGGCATTACTGCCACCTTGCAAATAGTGTTAGCAGCAGTGGGCCGTTTTTCACCCATAGGGCAATATGGAAAAACTCAGCTGTTTGATCATTCACACCATGAGCAGCTTGAGCTCCAGGTTAAAATTTTATTTTTATTTTTTATAGAGCAAATGGTGTCAACATTGAATTGATCACAGGATAGGAAACCATGAATCAAACCATTTGCTCATCATCCATGTCCGACCAGTCGCTGGGACCAAGTTCCAAGAAGGCAGTCTCTGAAAATAGGACTGGAGGAAAAACAGATAACTATGTGCACTGCTGTAGCCCCAAATATGGGCAGGGCATTGTTTATCACTTTCCTTCGGCACCCTGATTTATTCACTGAGCACTCCACCCTTTCCTTGTTTTCTTCTTTTATTTCCCCCCCACCCTCCTATACCTGTTTTCTATTTACCTAAGTTGAACTCCTAATTTCCCTCTTCAAACCTGCTCATCCTCCTTTACTCTTTCATCTGTTAGTGGCATGGTGAGCAACCACCCACTAATCCCAGCCAGAAAGAAGCCTGCAACTCATCTAGTCAAGACTCAGCCCTCCCACACCCTCCCATACAATACTGAGGTCTTTCATCTGCTTATTGCCTCATGAGATGTCTTAAACTTGCTCGCTCCTCTCCATCCCCACTGCCACTACCTGAGTCAGGCTCTCATTTCTCTCCAGAACTATTGCTGCAGCTGCCTAATTAATTGCTCTGTCCTTTGACCTTTACGTTCCCAGACTCCTCGGGGCTGCAGTGATCTAAACGCAAATCTGAGCATGTCGCCATGTGTCTCTGCCATGGATTAGGTGGAGACAAAGCTTGTTAACCTAAAGCATACCCAGCAGGATCTGGCCCAGCCGTGGGCAAACTACGGCCCTCGGGCCAGATCCGGCCCGTTTGAAATGAATAAAACTAAAAAAAAAAAAAAAAAGACTGTACCCTTTTATGTAATGATGTTTACTTTGAATTTATATTAGTTCACACAAACACTCCATCCATGCTTTTGTTCCGGCCCTCCGGTCCAGTTTAAGAACCCATTGTGGCCCTCGAGTCAAAAAGTTTGCCCACCCCTGATCTGGCCACTGCCTGACCTGCCATCTTTCTACATTTCTCCCTCCCCCTCTCTCCCATACTCTCCCGTTTGGTCAAGAAGGTAAACTACTTGCAGTTCCCAAACCCTGTACTTTTTCTCACCACTGAACTTTTACTTATGTTGTTCCCTCTGTTTGGAACACTACCTGGGTAACCGCACTCCTCTTCAAAACACAACTCAGGATTTACTTCCCCTAAGAAATATTTCCCGGTCTCATCCCCACCTCCTGGGCCAGTACTTCTCAAATGTTAATGTGCATATGATTCATCTAGGGATCTCATTAAAACTCAGGTTCACATTCAGTCAGTCTGGGTTGGAGCCAGAGAGTCTGCATTTCTCACAAGTTTCTGGGAGATGCTGCTGCTGGTAGCCAACCATACTTGGAGCAGCAAGGCCCTGGGCTGGATTGAAAGCCCCTCCTCTGAGTTCCCCGGACTAACCTCTGTTATAACACTATGTCCCTGCGTTAAATATCTGCTTGGCTTTATGTGTCTCCACATGAAAAGCTCTTTGAAATTAGAACCAAGTCTTCTTTTTATCCTAAGTGCCAAGAGCATATGTGAAACGGAGCTTTTCCTGACATTTTTAACTTTTATATTCTTGTTACCTCCCCACCCCGATTTACCTTCTGGTAAAGGAATGAATTTGTAACCTGAGATCTTTCAGTCTTGGAATGACTGGAAAGGAGTAAGTACTGGGTCACTTTGCATTTGTGTTTCATGTGCATGCACATATGTGTATGGGTCCATGCACATACACACACACACACACACACACACACACACACACACACACCCCTTTCTTCCCTGAAAGAGAAACCTACCAGACAAAGAACTGCTGACTCCAAAAGAAATCTGGGCTTGGCACAAATGCGGGGAGAGCCAGAATATACGGGTCGCTCCTCCCCTTCCTTCCTGTTTTCCATACAGGAAGTGTTTTTTACAGAGGCAACTTTATTGAACAAATATTGATTGAGCACCAACTATGTGCCAAACATAGCTTCCTTACTTCATTGTTATCTCTTTCATATCCTCCTCCACCCCAGAATCTAGCCAGGCTACCCGGCCTGTTCCCACGTGTTAGGCTCAGATTTTTATCCTGAGGAGCCAATGTTTTGTACAAATTCTCATGCCATTTTGTCTTCCATATATTTTGTAGTAAGTGACAGGTTAGTAAATGCCATACCAGCGAAGTCCTTTGGAAAAAGAAGAGAACAAGAATTTTAAAGTGCAGAGGTAAAAAGGATGTGTGGGCTGAGGCCAATAAAAGACTGAAGGGAGAGGGAGGAAAGGAGAGGTTACACCTGGGACCTGGCCCTGAGGAAGTTGTCAGAGAAGTCCCACCATCCCATTTCCAGAACCTGAGATCTAGATGAGCGGACTCCCTGAGGGCCCAGAGACCTTTGCTCCTCATCTCCTAACCCCCAGCCTTCATACCTTCTGCTCCATCTACACAGGACCATCTGCTGTTCCCTGAATAAGCCATGTATTTTCACATTCCTATGCCTTTACTCATCTTGTTCTCTCTGCTCCTATTGTTTCCTCTCCTCCTCTGCTATTCCTCAGGGTTTATTGTCAATGTTGCCTCTTTTTAAACCTCTCCCCAAGCTCTTAGTCAGAATCCCCTTCCCTCTATGTTACCCTAATAGCGGTTATCACCGCTGGATTCTTGTTATAATTCGTGAGTTCGTAATATCTTTGTCTACTCCTTGTTTGTACTCCTTGGATGTGGAGAGCCTTCTTTTTACCCCTTTATGTGGCCTGTATGTAGCACATTGTCACTATGTATTAAGGGGAAAGAGCATTAGCCAAATCGCCAATAAAGAAAAGACTTACTGAGGCTGAAATTGGGTACCCTGAGCTTCAGCTGCAGAAAACCTCAGCATCCTATAATTATGCTGTAGGTAAGTGACGGTGGGGTTACAGAGAGGAGTTCTAATTCCACAGGGCTTTCCCGATTTGCTCCAAATAATTCTTCCTCCTCACGTTCTTTAGGGAATTCATAAATGCTTAGAGAGGGAAGTCAAGAACGAAGAATTACTCATTTATAGCAAAGCAGAGAAAGTGAACATAAAGTAATTCCTACGGAAACCTCTGAGGACTTATCAAGAGAGAGCTGGTTACAAAGCCAGTTCTCTGGGAATCTGCTGACAACAGCTGGTGTGACAGTGCTGATGGATGTTTTATACATAAGGGAAGATGTTTCTCTCTGATTTTAATATACAACTTCAAAAAAGATGCCAGTGTCTCTGAAAGCTAAAAGGAATAGCCATTAAAATAATAACTAGCCTTTATTAAGTCCTACATATTAACAAATGTTCAAAAGCTCTTTATATGTATTAACTCTTTTTTTTCCTGCCCAATAAACCTATGACGTAGGCACTGCTATCATCCCCACTTGAATGATTAGGAAACTGAGATCCAGAGAGGTACAGTTACTGCCCAAGTTCACACAGCTAAAGAAAGAGTAGAGCCAAGATTGAAACCCAGGCCGCCTGGATCCAGAGCCCAAGCTTGTATCTCTGTCATTCTGAAATGCCTACTGTGCTCTACTGAGCAGCTACTGTGTGCCAGAAATTTTCATAGACACTCCACGTTTCTAATTCTTACCAAAAGAATTAAGTCCTAACCAGTTTGTCTCACTGTGGACTGAAGGGTCCCAGGTTCAATTCTGGTCAAGAGCATGTACCTTGGTCGGGCACATCCCCAGTAGGGGGTGTGCAGGAGGCAGCTGATCGATGTTTCTCGCTCATCAATGTTTCTAACTCTCTATCCCTCTCCCTTCCTCTCTGTAAAAAAATCAATAAAATATATCTTTTTTTAAAAAAGAATTAGGTTATGTGGTTTTCCAAATGAATAAAATTAAAGAGAAAGGTAAGTTACTACTCCAAGACCACACAGTCAGTAATTGCTGGTTCCATATGCATGGTAAACAGTAGATAGCCGTGCTTAGGTTTTTGGTGTATGGAACCAATCTTGGAAACCCAATATTATCATCAGGGCCTCAGGTTAAAAAAAAAATGACTTACTTATCTACAGATCATCTTGCATAATTGTACATACTGTAGCCAAGGAGACGGTATACCAAAAGGAGTGGCCATGAATGCTTCAGAGAATCCCCATTTTTTTGTCCTGTGCTTTAGGCCTTCCTCAGATTAGAAAAACTTGACTAGTGTTATATACATTTCCTTTCCAGAGGAGCAAGGTAAAATTCCAAGGCTGAGGTGCTTTCAGAATGTCAGAGCTACCTTCCATTCTTGGGTACACCTTATATAAAGTCCTGCACA